GGTAAATTACACATATCCACAATGTCAAAAACCAACCACAAAAATAGAAATACTAAAACACCCTCCCCAACCAAAAATAAAGGAGAAAAATTTTATATGAAGGAAACGAAAATAAGAAGCCCCAAAATTCTCTGCCGGGTTTACACGAGCCAACACGGCTGCCTGCCACGATGCAGACAAAGAAAGAGACGGCGATAAGCCAAGGAAACCAAAAAAAAAAAAGCCTAACGGCGCCGTCAGATGTAACGCCAAAGAACGGATCTACCACTCCGTTCTCCCTCCCCAAACCGTTACGTTTCCCGAGGTGGCGTCAAACAAATCAGGGCAATCAGTGATGTGATGTGCAATCATTTCATTGTACGCCGCCTTTATCAGACGGCTTGTATTCACTTTTCCACGGCCAATAGTACGGTTTTTTCTGTGCTTCCTAGTTACCGAAACGAACCGCGGTTACATTTCCCTCCACCCCACTAACTCCGTTCCATGAAATTTTTTTTACCATGTATAATTCTTTTCTTATTGACAGACGAATCGTGTTAATAGTAAGTTGCTTAATTTTAGTACGTGGACAGTATGATACCGCCGCGGATGAATAGTAGAAACTTGAATATCACCAGTAATAGTATTTTGTACAGAGGATATTTATGATATAATATAATTACCAGTAATAAGATTATAAATAATGTAATTATAAAAAATAATAATATAATATTTAATAAATAAATAAAATAATAATTAAAATATAAGAAGATAATATTACAGTATTGATAAATATTTTGTTGAAATTATTATATTAATTTTTAAAATTAGTTTTATTTATTAAAATAAAAATTTAATATATTTATATTCATTATTATTAATTTTTATAAAATATTATTTCTTAAATATATTTTTAATGTAATATATTTTATTTTTATTATAACTTTATATATTTTATTTTTAAATATAATTTTATATATTATATATATTATTTTAATTTATTTTTAAAAATATAATATAAATTTTATTAACAATCATCATGACTTTTGAGAACAATAAAAAGATATTTTCGAAATCTATATATGAAAAAATAAATTATAACATTACAAAATATTTATAATAAAGTAACAATGTTAAAAGATAAAAATATTTAATAACATTATAAAATGCAGTGTAATTTGATTACATTAATTTAGAATTGTAATCACATTACATATTTATTGACTATAATGCAACTGTATTACAATCTTATATTGTAGTAGTTTATTGCAAAACATAAATTATAGTATAATTTAATTGAACATATTATAAAAAATATATTCTCACTTCTCTCATATCAAATGTTACTTTATTGTAATTTGTACTACATATTGAATTGTCTCATTGCGATGATCAATGATAATTAAAACGATTATAAATAACTGTTATTGCATTGATATAAAACGGCGAAGAAATAGTATAGGAGCTTGCAAAAATTTAATGGTTTCATTTACAAAACCTACTTTCACGTACAAGAGTAGTAGAGCAGCTGTAGATTCATTAAGGCAACATTATCACAAGACAGTTTTTCTGTTGATATTTTACCAAATGAAAGTAATTTTCTTCAATGATAATATCGACCCATCAATGCTTCCTCGGTGTTAAATGTGAAAATCAATTAAACCATAATCAAATTACACTTAAAGAACCCAAACTGATATTATGATTATAGCAAGCACGTTAAATATAAGTATGAGAATTAAGCTATCATGAGCTTGGGTTCTACTCACATGCTTTATTTTTCTTTGAAAAGATTGCATACTCATTTAAATTTTTTTTTTCTTTTGAACACAGGTATTACTGGTATCCAGAAATGAATTTAGGTTGTAATGAATCTGTAAAATTTTAATGATAACGTGGCCAAGTTATGAGTGGTGAGATAGAAGTACTGCAGAGAAAATCACATGATAAGAAGGGAAAAGTACTAAAAACTCAACTAAGAAGAGGACCTAAAAAAGTAAGTGAAGTAGAGAGACTAGAGAGAGAAGAAACTTGAGAAAACAAAAGAAAGAGACCAGGGAGAGAGAGAGAGAAGCAAAGAGAGCGGTTTTGGGGATTTGCTAACGTCGATTCAATTTTCTGAGTTCTTTTTAGAGAGGGAAGGGAAGGGGGCAAAAAACAAAAACAACGACAACAACAACAAAGGATAGCAACAACAGCTTCACTCTTACATTACAAGTGCTTCACCAAAAAAAAA